TTTGGATACAAACCCAATAATTCTGCTCAGCATCTCTGCTCTTCCCTTCTGCCAAATTCTGCTTTTCCTTTCTCATTAAAGGGAGAATAGCTATCGGACAAATAAAAATGCATTCAGCTGAGCTGGGTGATTTTTAAAAACAAACTGTGTAAATGCATTTAATTAAGGGGCAGAGGAACAAGAGGCTTTATCAGCTCTTTGTCTGCAGGCCATTATTTCGTTGGGGATGAGCAATCCATTATTGTCAGCGGCCACCTTTTTGAGGGATTTACTCCCAAATCAAATGGTGTTTTTATTTAAATTGTTGAGTGCTGCTTGATTTCTCATTTATTAAATGTGGAGGCATTGTTACAGAGGAGAATGGAACACTTTGTTTGGATTGCTGGAGGGAGCAGGACTGGTGCCTTGGGAGCTGCCCGGGGTCCCGGGCTGGAACTGGTGCAGCACAGTGGGGAAGGGGAAAACTTGAAGGTGAAGTTGCTAAATCCCAGTTAAGCTGTCTCCAAGAGAACTTTGTGAAGGATTAATGGTTCTGTGCTTTATTTATAAAGTGAAGTCATGTTGTGAAGTCTCAGGAAAAAATTCCTCCCTGGGAGGATGGGCAGCCCTGGCACAGGTGCCCAGAGCAGCTGTGGCTGCCCCTGGATCCCTGGCAGTGCCCAAGGCCAGGCTGGACAGGGCTGGGAGCAGCCTGGGACAGTGGGAGGGGTCCCTGCCATGGCAGGGGTGGCACTGGATGGGATTTAAGGTCCTTCCAACCCAACCCATTCCATTATTTATAAATAACAATGAAAGAAGCTCTCAGGGTACAGCTCCTGTTTGTGGCTCCTGAGCTGCTTCCAGCCCAGAAAACCTCATTTACCTGATTGAGAGTTCCCACTGATCCACATTACTGGGTCCAAAATGCAGTTTCCTTTGTCTGAAACTTTCTCCTGGATTCTTTTTTTTGGCTTTTACCTCTCCTCTGAGTGCCTCTAACAGTTTTTGACAGGAGAAGTCAGAGGTTTCCACACCTATTCCCAGTGGAGGAGATGAACTGGGTTGTTCATACTCTGGATAAAACCAGAGCAATTTTCACTTCTCTTAAATTCCAGGAGGTAATCTAAGATAATGGAACTATTAGATTTGGCATCTGTAAGGTGGTTATCATTTCAGAAGGAATTGTTTCTGTTAATGGCAGTTAACTTACTACAAATAAAGCAAGAGAATTGAAATCTTAAGTACCAGAGTGGCAGCAAACCATGAAACATTATCCTGCTCTGTGGAAGGAAGGCTGAGCCAGCTGTCAGGGAAGAAATCTATTGGAAAAACCCTCTGATGGATTCCAAATGGAACTAATTTAATGTGGCAGCAGCATCCAGCTCTTCTACTTTCTATTAGAAATATTAAAATGTCTATAAATAATAATATTAAAGCGGGCAGAAGCTTTCATCCAAGGAACTCATGGTTTTTATCAGGATGAGTTTGGTGGCTGTTGGTGGAGCTGAGCTGTGAAATCCTTGAAATTCCTGAGCTGCCCTGGGGATGCCAGGAGCTCCTGTGGCAGATTTGGGCACCCTGTGAGGTGTGGATGGGGCCTGGCTTTGCTGTCTGTGAACCAGGTCTGGGGGAATTCAGGAATTTGGCTCTGCAGGCCAAACCTGCTCAGTCCAGCCTT